GAAAGGGCCAGCTGCTGGAAACTAGTGTCTAAACACCAAACAGATGAATGGAAATACTGCCAGTGGGAGCAGTCAGGTGTGGACATTAGAGGCCAGCACAGTGAGCAGTTCATACTCCCCATAAACAGCTGGCAGCTCAGCCCAGCTGCTCACTCACGTGCAATTACATGTGAAGTATGGCAAATCCAAAAATAGCCTGAGCTCAGCCACAGAGGTTAATACCGTCAATGGCTTTCAACTCAACTGTCAGGAAGACAGGAAGGGGAGTAACTATAGCAACAGAAAAATGAACACGTGAAAAAAGTCTTCTGAAGTTGACAGGAAAAGTTTAGATTTAATAAAACACATATTTTCCATTTCTGTCTCTAATTCTTTGAATTCAAATAATTCAATTATTTGGAGGCAATAAAATTAGAATTTTGGTAGAGTTTTGATAAAACAAACTCTTTCAGTTTTGGGTTCCAGAACCATAAAGTAATACTGCTAACCTGTCAACTTCACTACCTTTATAATTAAAGGACCATTTGAACAAACGCTTTTATATAATTTTTAACTGAGGAGATTTTCGCTATATTTGTTCTATCAGTTATAAAAACAGGCTTGAACCGTACTTGACATTTTAAGATATTACTGCAATGTCTGATGAAAATACAGGGTGACATGGAATTCTCTTGAAATGAAAGGAATTTAGTGAAAATAATTAACATTAGAGAAGACACAGAGAAATAACTCCTAGAAAAAGTTTCTCAGGCAGTTCTCATGGCCGTCTCAGCAGCCTGTGGCCCAGGGAAACACGGAGCTCAGGGTGCTCGTGCCAAGGAGCGCAGAGCATCATGCAGTCCTGATAAAGCTATTCTTGCTCAGAGAGCTCACACACCTAATCTTAGGATCAGCATATCCAAAATTCCAGCATCTTCTTGCATTATTTGATAAAGGAATATTCAGGTAGGTACTGGGAATGTGGTATTGGTCCCAGCTCTTCCCCGAACTGGTTGTGGGGCACTACACAAGTCACTACCCAGCTCTCTGGTCACTGGCTGGATGAGTCTCTCCCTGAGAAGGAACAGTTAAGAGTTAAGGGGAAAGAGGAGAGGATTTGTGTTGAATACCCATTTGGGTCACATGCTGTGCTGGGCTTTAAAAATATATTATCTTGGCCACAAACTGGCAAGATAGACACTTGTATCTCTGTTTTATATATGAAGACACAATCATAAGCAGGCTAAGCTAGGAAGTGACAGAGCCTGGTTTCAACCCTCTGTCTGGTTGATGCTCCATGAGGCTGTCTCCTTCTCAGATACCATTCCAGCCACTCTTACAGCTGACTCCTGCCTGCAGTGTAAAGATCAGCCCCCAGGTGCTAGTTCCATGCTCTTCCGCCATCTACAGATGCTCAGTGAGGGTCCTCCATTTTCCAAGCACAGAAGATTGGGTCCCTAGAAAGTCCCTCTATAATCTTCTTTCATTCAGGTAACCACTGTTAATGGTTTTTTTCACATCAAACGTATACTATTCTGCCACTTGCTTTTTCACTTAATAATAGATCATGAATATCTCCCTGTGTTAATAAATAAAAAAGTACTTTATAAAGATTGCATTACTATATTATAATCAATAACTTGCTAGTGGATATTTCAGTTCTATTTTTTAAAAATTAAGGTATAACTGACATATAGCATTATATTAGCTTCAGGTGTACAACATAAAGATTCAATATTTGTAAACACGGTGGAATGATCACCACAATAATTCTAGTTAACATCTGTCACCTTACATAGTTACAAAAAATTTTTTTTCTCGCGATGAGAACTTTTAAGATCTACTCTCTTTGCAACTTTCAAATACGCAGTATGGTCTTATTAACTATTGTTACCATGCCGTACATTACATGCCCAGGCCTTATTTATTTTATAACTGGAAGTTTGGACCTTTTGACCACCTTCATCCATTTCTAATCTGTTCTCTAGATCTATGAGTTTGGTTTTTTTCTTTTCAGATTTCACACATAAGTGAGATCATATGGTATTTGTCTTTCTCTGACTTATTTCACTTAGCATATTGCCCTCGAGGTCCATCTGTGTTGTTGCAAATGGCAAGATTTCATTCTTTTTTATGGCTAAATAATATTCCACTGTGTAAATAATATCCATATATATACACACACACACACCACGTTTTCTTTAACAATTCATCCATTGATGGACATTTAGGCTGTTTCCATGTCTTGGCTATTGTAAATAATACTGCAGTGGATATGGGGGTGCATGTATCTTTTCAAGTGAGTGTTTTGGTTTTCTTCAGATGAGTACCCAGAAGTGGAATTGCTAGACCATATACAGTAGTTCTATTTTTAATTTTTTGAGGAACCTCCAATACTGTTTTCCATATGGTTGTACCAATTAACATTCCTACCAACAGTGTACAAGGGTTCCCTTTTCTCCACATCCTCATTTCTTATCTTTTTGATGACAGCCATTCTAACAGGTGTGAGGTGATATTGCGTGATTTTCACTTGCATTTCCCTGATGATTAGTGATGTCAAGCAACTTTTTGTGTATGTCTTGGCCATCTGCATGTCTTCTTTGGAAAAATATCTACTCAGATCTTCTGCCCATTTTATAACTGGATTTTTTTTACTGTTGAGTTGTATGAGTTCTTTATATATTTTGGATATTAACCTCTTGTCAGATACATGATTTGCAAGTATTTTCTCCCATGCTTGTTCCAATTTTGTACTACTTTAATAATCAGGAAAAATAGAAAACATCATATGGAAAAAAACACTAGGGTATTAAAATCACTTTTAAAGGAAGTATAATAAGTCAAAAATTAAATCAAGAGCTTTGCCTTAAATTAGCCTTTGTGTTTTCCTCTAATCTTTGCTTAGAATCAAAATTGCCTACAACACAGGAACAGCAATGCTTATTGGTTTATTATGCAGTTTAATACGCAGATGAAATAAAATGCATCTGTGGGCCCTGCGCCAGGAATTTTCTGTAGCATCCCCCAATCCCATGTTAAACAGACAGCCGTGCTATTTATATGGTGAAAGATGTTGGCAGCTATGTGAAAGGATTCTGGCTGAAAGTGAAATGTACACATAAAAACAAATCTAGTTTTGTGGTTAGTTCAAAATTCACAGCTGGTAGGGGCTTTTCTTAAATTGAAGTGTTTCCCCCTCCCATAAAGAGAAAACGCTCTTTTAGTGCTGATTGAAAGACCAAAATCAGAGCAAAAGCTGTTTGAAAATTTAAGTAAAGCTGCTTAAGTAAAGCTGCTTTAAAAGCTGCTATGTGGACCAAACAACTTGGAAATTTCCTAACAGGATTTTCTAGAGTTCCAGTAAATCTTTCTCTCAGTCATTCCTTTGTTCTCCAACTTTCGTCAAAACCAAAATCAAGTAATACAAAAGTCACCCACGTAGACAAAGAAGCAAAAAAAACACAGATGTGCATGCACATATACACACATGTACACACAAACTTAGTTTAAAATTAAAATTACATTGAAATAATCTATTAAAATTAGTTATTTATATATAAATTATCTCTTCATTACCTCTTTTTGATGCATTTTAAAGTGTGATGCTCTAAGATGAGATTCATGTAAACTTAGTTCTATAAGAATTTTTAAAAATGATCATAAAACAGCACATAAATAAGTGGCGTTTTGAAGGGGGTGGAATCAGATGTGACAGGGGTAATGTTTCCTGCTGTGATAATGGATACTACCCTTTTGAGCATCTACAGCAGGGTTTCTCCTGCTGTTTCCTCCCCTTGAGCCCTTTTCTCTGAAGGTGTGGTCAAGACAGTAGAAATAAGGCTGAGGACAGAACAGGGCCAAGCCAGCCCAGTGCCTAATAAGACACTGGTAGGCAGCCAGCCACTTAGGTCAGCATCTCCAAATCCATACAAGAACATTTATTACATGGTAATAAACATCCTGGCCACTAGGGTGGTTTTGGCTACTCCCAAATGACAGCGATTTTGGTCACATGCAATGGACGCATGACCTAATAGGCTTAGAGATAGAAGGGGTCTGAGGCAGAGAGTCCACTTTCAGTGATGGCCCCAGAGACGGGCCACTCTCAGGGCCTCTGCTAGTGGGAAGAGGACTCTGTAGATTCTCTTTGGTTTCCCCGCACAGGTGGGTTGCATCCTGATTTCTTACAATACTTGGTTTGAAATTTCTCCACACTCATAGAGCAGTATATCAGCCATTTCCATTATAGTATGTCATATTTTCCTAATTCGTTCCCAAACTACAGATACTGAGACACTGGAGAGTGGACAAAGAAAGGACATCTACAGATGGGCTGAAAAGCGGTAACAATATGTATTATAAAAGCTTTTGCAAGCAGCATGAATTTACTGAAGCAATACCTATGTGATCCAGCTGAGACCACTTCTAATAAAAAATAGAGGACTCTCACAAACGTATAGAATAGTGTCTAAAGACTTTCTAATGTGACATATGTATGACTCACACATACACTCAACTTCAGACAAGGACATTTCTTAGAATATAAGCAGTCAGAAGTAAGAGGAGGTCATGTGGTCCTGACACGCATTTCACGCAGGTAGTTAAAAAAAACGTATACTTACAAAAGCATTGTCGAAATAATAATCACATTAGTGATTATAGACAGGTTGGTACAACAGTAGAGGTAACTATTTGATCTTGAAACCTCAAGATTTCATTTTGGTTTGAGGTAGGTAGATATTTACAAAGGGCAGTGTAGCAGTTAAGAGTTGAAATCTACAGCCAGAATCCTTGATCTTGAATTTCAACTCCACTTACTAGTGATATAATATTGGGAAATTTGCTTAATTTCTTCAAGCTTCAGTTTCCTCATCTGCACAATGTGGACAGTTATAGTATACTTCTACCACAGCACTGCTGTGAGGATCACATGAGTTATTCATGTAAACACTCAACACAGGGCCTAGTGGCTATTGTTATAACTATCATTGTCCCCAGGGCTAAAGTAGTTCACTCACCAAGATGAGTGTCCATCACCTTCGCACAGTATTTGCACATGGCATCGAGGTCATTCAACTGTCCCTGAAGGAAGGAAATTTGGGCTTCTAATTCTTCTTCCTAAAATGAAAGGGGTAAAAATATGGAAATTAAAAATAATTTAAATGAGATCCCCAAAGTTCTCTAAATGATCTGGACTATTTTAAAAAGGCACAATGTCTCTTCAGTCCTAGACAAAACAAAAGAAAACAGCAAATAAACAGGAGCAAATCCACCATTGCTACCACAAACAAAATAGAGAAAGGGTAATTGGAGGTTTAAAAAAATCTGGACTTTTCCTAATTGAATGCTAGCTTTGTGCCATGTGTAAATGTTTACCCACAAAACCTTGTTTAAAAAAAGTACATAAAATACCTTCAATAACTATTGAGCCACACAAATTGGGAGAGTAAATTGGATTTCAGCGGACCATACTCTCTAGGCAGCTGTTACCAAAACATTACATTTTCTCTCACATACATTTGGGAAACCAAGGATTTCCATTTATATAAGACAAATCTCATCATTTTCTAGACAACGATAATCTCTTAAAATGTGAGATTTCCCAAAGCACTTGGAAAAGTTTTGCCCCCACAGTCCATAAATAGCTGCTCTTACATTTCCTCTCTTGATATGACACTAGAACATTTTATTTATTTGATTGTTTCTAGGAAAAATACTCTGAGATGAGTAATTAGCTAAATGGTAAAACACAATCTAACTGCAACAAAGGAATAAAGTCTGGTTTCTTTTTTAAGGAAAAAATAATATACGTAAAAAATTTCCCAAGGAAATTTAGAAGATTATGGAAGTTTTTCTCAGAGAAAGAGAATAATCCTCATTATGTAGGATATTTTAAACCAAGTTAGCTAGAACACAAAAAATGGATGTTGCCAGAGCTGAAATAGGCTAGAAAATTGATTTTCCAGTCTCAGATGCTTGTTCTTTCATATATTAAAGAAGGGAAGAGAAACTTACCGAGATATGCTTTTTCTTAGAAACTGAGTATAATTTGACTTATAGATGAAAATTAACAGTTGAAAAGGTTACTTGTAGGTGTATTCCATTTTAGCAACACACACATGCAGCACTGGAAAGTATTGTTTTTAACTGCTGCCTGGAGAATGAGCCCCTAAGAATATGTATTTAAATGCTTGACACAGAAAACAGACATAGCAGTAGCTTTAAAAAATTATTGTGAAATGCTCTAAGATTACACAAGCACTAATCATGCTCTTTACATACCCCACAAAGTTCAGCAGCCTCTCCTCTGATACTCAAATAAGGACAAATGCCACCAGAAGAAGCTCAGCCAAGAGATGATTACAAGGGCCTATGGGTAGGTGGTGCCATCTTCCTAACTCTTTGGCAAGGCTTTAAGGTGGAAAAGAATAGGGAGTTTTAGGGCTTTTTCTTCTCTTTGTTTCTGCACAGGTTTGAGTTTCCTTGCTCTATCAGGACACTGTAGGAATTAGAGAAGGAAGGCTACAACTACTGTTAACTATGGTTGTGGTCAGTCTTCAAAGATGGCCACCATCAACTCCTTCCTCCTTCAATGTACATGCTATTCTACTCATCAAGAGGTAGTATCTATTTCCCCTCCCCCTGAATTTAGGCTGGCCTTATGAATTGCCTTGATCCAGAGAATGCGGCAGAAGTCAAACTGCCAGTTTGGGGCTAGTCTAAGAGGCCTGCCAACTTCTGCTTACTTCTGCTTTCACTAGAGGAAGAGATAGCTACATGTTGTATAGAAGTTCAGGCTAGATCCTGAAAGAGAGGAGAGAAAATATGGAGAGAAAGAGTCCACAAGAGAAACACTGACATTCTAAACATGTGAATGAAGTCTTTCTGGACCTTTCAGGCCAAGCCAGCTGAAGGCAGCTAAGCAAGTGACCCAGTCAACACCATGTGGAGCAGAACAACAGCCCAACTGAGCCTTGTCCAAATGCCTAACCCGTAAACCTCTGAGAAATAGCAGTGCTGTTGTTTTAAGGAGTGGGAGTTTAGAGTGGCTTGTTATGCAGCAATAGATAGCTGAAATAGTGGTAGAATGCATAGAACACTAGAGTGGTATATGGCGTGAGGAAATTTGAGTTCTATTTCTGGTCCTGCCATTAACAAGTCATGTAACTGAAAGTAATACTCTACCCAATCTGGGCCTAAATTCAGCACTCTGGAGAAGGTAAAAGTCAGAGACTTTTCTCCCAAGGAGCTTACACATGAGTAGCTGGAAGAAGAAAGTTATATAAACTACCAAAGTATGAGGCAGAGTACACTTAAGTCTTATAATGAAATAAGAAAAACTGTTCTGGAAATCCTGGTCCCTGCCTCCTGTCCCTTCTACTGAACAAGTCACCTTTTCAACGTGTTACAGACACAAACCCAACTGGATGAGTCTAGAATTGTACTGAGGCTAGAGCTTCCCAGTCTTTTAAAAGAAGGGGGGCCCTGCTGTGGTCTGAGTTTCTCCTTTCATGTGGCTACCAATCGGGGTGCTGACAGCCCAGAGTGGCAAAGAACACTAGGAATGCACTGCCTCCTGGTTTACAAACATCTTCTCTATTTACTCCATGTATAAGTTTAATTTTGATTAAGCAATCACTTCTTTTAAAATGCAAAAGCCCTTGGGAGCTTTAATCTCTAGCAGTCACTCCGACCTAAATGGATTTATTTATTCAGTTTGCTTTTTTTCAAAGCTGGGAGGGAAGAAGAGTTTGAGAGGAGATACTTTAGAGGAGAGAGGCCTGGCCTGCTGGTGGTGAGGCATTGAAGAGCTGGAGAGAAGTATGTAGCTCAAAGGGGTCCCTTCCTCCAAACACATTACTCTACTAGCAGGAACATTACTGTGATAAAAAACGCAATGAGACTGCAGTGCATAATTTGCATAAGTGTGCAGTGCACAATTTGCACAAGGGCATGGGGAGGCAATGAGAGCACGGCAGCCTGACGTACTCACTTGGTGAGCATGAGGGGATATAAAAAAACAATTTTCCAAGTTTGCAATTTAGCTTTAGACTCTGGTGGACCTGAGGAGCATCTCGCTCACCTGAATCCCAAATAAAATTTCAATACGAATGAAATCTACACTATGGAAAACGGCAACTTTCATTCATTTAAACTTTTCTAAAAGAAAGCTCACTATATGAGATAAGAGGAGCACTATGGTTGAAACAGGTTGAGAGGCCCAAGAACCTTTTCCATTTGGAAGTTTAAAATCCAGTGCGTTATCTCTCTAGAGTTTGCTAACTCTTAAAACATTCCTAAACCCTTCAACATCACTTTGACTTTATATGTAGAAATGGATCACTGGGAGGCAAAAGGGTGGCTTGTCATTTATTCTTCACTACATTACATAATTACAGACAAAAGAAAGAACCAAGAATCAAGCTTCTAAAAGTGTGGGAACTTTGACTTTACATTTCTCTCTTAGCTTCTCATGCTCCACACTCCTCCCAATTAACATGCTTTAAACACCAACAGCTTTAGTCATTTGTTTTCCTTAAACTGGTCCTCTGTAATCAAAAACAAATGCTTGGCTAATTGCCTTGAGGTTTTATGAAAACAACCTGTTAGTGTAATTTTTATGTATAAATAAGATACTGAAGATAAATGCTTACTCTATCTGCTTCTGCATATAGGATCTGCCTTCCATTACAGGAGGGCGTACGGTAGGGCAGGATGGAATTCTGGAGTAGACACACCCAGGTTCAAACCCTCTTTCTGCCAGTTACCAGCCACATAATCTTGGACAAGTTCCTTCATTTCTTGGTCCTCCCAACCCCCTCTGGCAGGATTGGTGAGAGAGCAAAGTGAGAACACATGGAGAGTATCTGGCATAGAGCAGGTACTCAATAAAGGCAATTATTCTTTCTTTTAAAAAAATTTTTATAATCAAGTGAAAAGAGTGAAATGGATTTTAAGTATAGGGTTTTATGATTCACTGTTGGAAAACACTGGTTTCTGATTTTAAAACCTTTATGTAGCTTGGCCGAGAAAGATTAATTAGGGCTTAAAAACCTGTCACTGTCTTAAGTTTTAGATGGCAAATTGACGTGCAAGGCAAGAAAGTGATGGAGGATTATGAAGTAGGGCCACATGCAGACCACTGTGTGCAACATATACCAACTGTACTTGGCAGCCCTGTAGGGAAGAGGATGAGGGCCACTCCACCACAAGAGAAAAACAGCTACCATCTAACCCTTTAATAGCGATTATAATATGCAGACACTGAGCTTTGCATGCATTAACTCATTTAATTCTCACAACAAACCTGAGGTAGATTCTCTCATTGTCTCCTACAGGAAACACAGTCTCTCGCTCTGTAAGCTACATCCTCTGCGAGTGTATACCAAGGTGTAGACAGCTATTTGAGAACCCAAGTCACTTGGCCCACTACTCTCATTTCTTCCCTGTATACACATTCTTTCCTATGCTTAATTACTATTGCCCTTCCAATGAATAACCTCATATCTCAGTTTTCTTTAAGAGAGATTCACAATTACAATGTCGAGTTCTAATCCCAAACTGCTTAACTAAATTGTTTTCCTTGAAAAACATTCACGTATGATTTGGCTGTGTTGTTTTGTTATTTGCTAAACAATTTTTGTTTTGACTGAAGAAAAGGTTTTTTGAATTTGCTTTTTAAAAAGTGGTGTTTCCACCACCATTCACAGCAAAACAGTTGATGTATCATTACACTTCTAGTCAAATATTATACATCTTAGTTGTTTAAACTGCTTTACAATACATGATTTTATATATCAATTTTGTTAAATGCTTCACTGGTATTTCTTGGTTTTAATACAAGCTTCTTCTTCTTCATTTTTTTGGTGAGGAAGATTGGCCCTGAGCTAACAACTGTGCCAGTCTTCCTCTATTTTATGTGGGATGCTTCCTGGCTTTTATGTAGGATCACAGCATGGCTTGATGAGCGGTACTAGGTCCACACCCAGGATCCGAACCTGAGAACCTCGGTCTGCCAAAGTGGAGTGTGCGAACTTAACCACTAGGCCGCCGAGCCAGACCCTAGAACAAGCTTATGTAGTTTATTATTTATTCACTTATTAATTTCTTCAACAAAT